GAACTGCCTCAGAGAAGGGTATAGTTTCTTGACAATGTCTAACAGGAACTATACTTCCCTCTTGGACACCGCATATATCCGTAAGGGATTCCCTGTGCCGTGTTGTCGTTATAGTGTGAAAATTAAGAAGGCTTTCACCTATAACAATATATTAAAAAAGAATAACATGTATATATATATGTATGTATAGTGCAGTAGATCTAAACTAACTTATTGAAGATAAACTAAAACATGCTATTATGTACACATTGTTCTTTGCTTATTGTTTTTATGCAAAGAGATTGTAAGTTCTAGTCCTTTCACTTATGAGATTAAAAATTTAGGAAATTTATTTTCGGTATGCCACTTGTTATAAAGATATTGAAGTTTTTAAATTTTCATGTACGTACATATGTACGTACATATGAAGTAATTGTGTTACATAGTCTTAATTAGCAATTGGTTAGAATAATGAAAGTTAACATATGCATAGTTTACATACACTACATATGATTTCACATAAGCTTATGATAATACATATAATTTTGCATAAGCTTATTTAATATGCATATAATTTCACATGATTTTTATTAAATTTAGCAAATAGTATAAAAAAAAAAAAAAACTAAAAGGGGTTTTTTTCAATAAAAGCCATTGAAAATTTTTTTTATTTTGTCATTCTCATAACCAACATGTGAATTAAAGATTGGTTGTTATTAGTAAAGAAAAGAATGATACAAATGAACATACCATTTGATAAAACCTATCAGTTCATTCCTATAATATTAATTGGTTTTTATATAATTCAAACTAGGTGAATATGCAGTTAAATGAATTACATGAATTAGCATTAGTAAATTATAATACGAAGAAAAATATATTAACATTAATAATCAATTTGCTTACGTTGATAAAAATCATATCGATTTAAGCCTGAATATTAACTTGTATAGAACTCATTTTCTTGGTTTTATGATTTGTAATATGTAAGTATCTTTAATGCCAAAAATCGAATGTTCAATAGTATAAAAGGGTAATAACAAAGAGAGAAAGGAGTTTTGCTATTTGGTTATATATTGTAAAAGGTTTATGATAAATGATTCTGATAATGAATTTAATTTTTCATTTGGCCAAGATGAAGAAAGTGATATCGAATTATTAGCTTCAACATCTACATCTACTCCAGCTTTATTTACCTCAGCTTTGTCTACTCAAAATACAAAGATTACTAAAAAAAAAAAAAAATGAAAACACCTGGTAGTTTTGTTTGGAAGTTTTTTAAAAGATATACTGCGTTGAAATTATTAGATAATAAAGAAGTAGAAGTGGAAAAGGTTTCTTGTAAATTTGAAGATTGCGATACAGAATATGTATAGCTAAGATCAACCAGTAATTGTATAACCCATCTTTATGATATATACCAAATTACCAAAGAATCACTTAAAAATACATTAGTAAAAGCAAAGCAACAAACGATTTATCAAGTAATTTCAAGACCTCATTCTTCTCATGTTCAAAAAAAGCTTACATATCAACTTGTGCACTATATAATTGCATGTGCTCAGCCTATTTCTATTGTTGATGATGATAATTTTAGGCTTTGAACAAAAAATCTCAATTTCTGATTTAAAGTTCCATGTGTTAATACTATTAAAACCATTATATTTAACTTCTATAATTCTGCAATAAATCAAATTATAGATCTTATTTCGAAGACATCAGATACTGTTTCTTTAACCTTTGATCTTTGGTCATCGCAAGCACATAATAGCTATCTTGGAATTACTTGCCACTGGCTTACAGATTCATTTGATTTGCACAAGATCATACTTAACATTAAAGAGTTGGATAAACATCATGCATCTGATATTGTTGAATCTGTTAATTCTATTCTTAATAAATTTAAAATTAATTGTCAAAATGTTTTTTCTATTACTACTGATAATAGATTTAATGTCAGGTCCGCAGTGCAACAAATAGGTATTTTTAATGTGAAATGTGCTGGGTATACACTTCAATTGAGTGTTAATTTAGGTTTAAAGGAAGTTGATAAAATTATTTCAAAATGTAAAGCACTTATCTCAATTTTATCAAAAGAAAAAAAATATAAACAACTTCGTGAAGCTCAATTACAGATTACTTCAGGGCTTAAAGAGCCACTTGATGTTATTAAAGACGTAGATACATGTTGGAATTCTACTCTTTATGCTATTGAACATCTTGTATATTTAAAACCTGCTATCATACAATTATACTTAACTCTTACTAACTATACAATTAAGAAGATTAGAAAAGGAACAGAAACCATGAGCCCTTATATTCCCTCTTCAGAAGAATTTAAATTATTAGAAAAACTCATCAAAGTTCTTTTCCCTTTTGATGAAGCTACTCAATTTTTAAGCAGATCGAAATATCCAATACTGGGTTTCATGACACCAATTTTGAAAGAACTTGCTCATCAGCTTAGATATTTTATTGGACAAAATAGTATGGCAATTCTTGTTAAAGATACAATTTTAGACAATTTAATTGAACAGTAGGGTGATCCAAATGAAATAAGCATATGCTGCTCCTTCCTCGATCCACATTTTAAAAAGCTAAATTTCTGCACTAGTGCTTTACGGCATACAACTATTTAGAATATGCATCAACAATTTAATAAGCTATGTTCAATACAAACCTCCAATAATAATCTAACATCAACTAATGATAATAATCCATCTTTAACATCTTCATATCAACATAAAAAAACTAAGATATCAGCATTTTTTATGCATTTGCATACAGAAAACTCTAACGTTGAGCCTGATAAATTTGACCAATATTGTAAACTCTCCTCAATTGCTCTTGATGAAGAATCTTGTCCTTTAGAATGGTAGCGTAAACACTACCTTCTTTCCTACTATGGCGATTTTAGCAAGAAGATATCTTGCAGTGCTGGCATCTTCTGTACCATCAGAGTGCCTATTTTCTGATGCCAGAAATCATGTAATGGATAAGCATAATAGACTTAATCCAGATTTTTTGAACAAATTAGTATTTCTTAAAAAAAATATGAAATCTATTAATATTTTTTCTTCACTCAATTAAATCATATTTTTTATTTACTGAACATTTTTTATAAAATATTAAATAAATCATATTTTTATCATTTACGAAATTCGAATTTTATATAGAGTTTCATATTTAAACTTAAACTTACTAGTAGCAATTTACAGGATTTAACTTTGTGAGTATTATATCCATATATTAGTACTCAAATTCAAGTTTAATGACTTAATATATATTAACTTTATTATTAGCATGATAAGCAATAGCTATATATTATTCTTTAAATAGCATAGTAAGTATAAATTTACAATTTAGCATTTACCTTTAGATGATATTTTTTAGATTACTTAAGAATTACTTGTTAAAATTCACAATTCAAGCTTGCAAGTATTTACCTTAAATAGTATTTTTAAGTTGTTTGATTATGCGATAGATTGTATATATAATACTCTTTTAATTTGCAATTTGAACTTATATGTACTTATCTAAAAGCAGTACTTTTTCAAACTTTTAATTTGCATTAATTTGATCTGTATTGAATAATCTTTTATTGCACATTTAAATCTGCGATTTGACTTGTAAGTATTTCATTAAATGTGCTTTCTAATTTAATTTGAACAAATGTAAATATACAAATATTTACCCTTTTCTAGTCATTGATATTATACTAATCTATGAGTATAAAGATTATTTGCTACTCTATTTAAAATTTATAATTTGAATATATATAACTATTAATATAGCATTTTTTAGTTATTTATTTCATATAAATTTATGAGTATAAAAATAATCATCTATTAAGTTAAAATATGCGATTTAAATTTATAATCATTTACCTTAAATAGTAACTTTCAAATATTGAACTTAGCATTATCATGGTGTGTATTAAGTTCAGTAGGTCCATATTATTTTACTGATGATTACTTAATAAACATTACATTTCACTGACAATTACTCACTAACAAGTTTATTTTATATCGAAGCTCATTTCACTAACTAGTTTTTTTTTTTATAATTTACACTAACTTAAACTTTAATTCTAACCTGATCATAATGTTATTGACCAGAATTACTTTTCTGTAAAATGAGCTTTGGTGAAATAAACTGTTGGTAAAATGAACTTGTTAGTAACTAATTGTCAGTAAAATGTGATGACTACGAATTAATTATTAGTGAGTTGATCAGATCCCAAGTTGGGTCTATTATCTTATTTAAATCTTATAAATCAAGTTTACAAATATTTTCTTTTGAAAGCATCCCTCTAGTCATCTGATTTTTGTTACTTTAGTGGGTATCATATTTATTTATTATTTAATTAAAATATTCAAACTCAAGGTTTAAATTCAAGTCTTATCTTTAATAGTAATTTCTGAGTTATTCAATCTGCATTAACTTAGTAAGTATAACTTTAATTGCCATAGTGCTGAAAATGGCTAATGCTGAAAATTGGGGTCTTTATTTGAGAATATAAACTCTACTTAAAATATTTTTATTAATATACTTCTAATTCCCGGGTCTGTATTGTTTCACCAACAATCACTTCATAGGCATCATATTTCACAGACAATTATTCATTAACAAGTTCATTTTACTGACAGTCTATTTCACCAAAGCTCATTTCACTAACAAGTTTTTTCTATAAATTACACTAACTTTAACTCTAGTTTTAACCTAACTCTAATAATATTGACCAGATTACTTTGTCTGTAAAATAAGCTTCGGTGAAATAAACTGTTAGTAAAATGAACTTGTTGGTAAGTAATTGTCAGTGAAATGTGATGTCTACGAAGTTATTGTCGATGAGTTGATGGGATCTCCAATTCCTGGCATTAAACATTTTTAGTATTAATTGTGTTATTAATTAATTATTTTCTTTTATCTTAACTTATAAGTTTACTTTAATAGTGCATCCAAAATTCATTAATTTATCTTAATTTGGTGAGTATAAAGACAATTTTAACTATTTAATTTAAATTATAATTTAAGCTTGCTTGTTTATTATCTCTTATTAAATAGCTCTTTCAGAATCATTTATTTTACTTAAATTTTGTGGGTGTTTTTTTTTATTTTGTCTAAACAGTATTTATATGCTGTTAAAAGTTAGAATTGATTAAAAGGTATGAGAATGGTTAGATTTTTGTTTAAATCTGTGGATTTAAGCTTATTTGAATATCTATTAGTAAAAATTATTTGAATAGTAGCAAAAAAAATCTGAAAAAGCAGCTATCAGCTCTAATAATTAATATTATAAATAAATAAGATGAAAATATTTCAGAGTTTTTAATTTTTTTTTTAAATTTTATATTGTATTATTTAACCAATTTATTTAATAAAAAAAGTTATTCAAACTCATATCTGAATTTATTTGATATTTGTAATTGGCATTATAGCTTATGCCTACTATTAGTAAGCTTTTAATTTAGAAGACCTGATATAAAAAAATTTTTGAATTATAGAATTATCAAACTCTGATTTGATATAGCGAAGTATATATTGTATTTTCTTATTATAAGCTAGAGTGTAGACTTTTTCTTAATAAGAATAAATTGTAGCTTTATATTATTACAAGATTATAAAACATATTAATATTTTTTATTTGTAACTAATTTTATTGTATCAACTATTCAACTAAACAACTAAACAACTAATTAGTTATGTGATGCTGATAATCGATTAGTTGCCAACTTTAGTTGCCAACTAATTGATTAGCAAATTTTTACCAACTAGGAACACTATCCTTCACTACTATAATAATACAATTAATTTTAATAAATTTATTAAAAATAACACTAGATTATATTTGACTTCTAGTTGCAATATTAAATATAATTTTTTTATATATAATAATATTTTAAATAGTAATTATTAAAGTCTTTTACTTGATTCTTTAAAACAACTAAACATGTTATATTTTAATGAAGAATAATTGTTTTATTATTATTATTTTTTATTTTTTTTTGCTATTAAAATAAAAATATCATACAAAGTATATAGCAATATAAACTTTTTTTTAAAAGATATAATACAAATTATCTTTAATACAAATAAATTTTTTTATATATAACATATTAAGTTACAATATTAATATTTTATTATTACAGAATTATACAGAATTATAAAATCATACAAAATTCATAAAAAAAATTTACTACAGTAAATCACAAAATTTGTCTTAACCATATGCAAAATTTAGGTTTAACTAATACAAAAAATTATTAGTTCTGATTTTGTATTTCTAAATTTAGTATATAATTTTGTATTTATCTGATCAGTTAAAAAATAAATTTTAAATCTACTTAATTTTAAGTTAATTTTAAATATATATAGTAATAGATTATACTTAGTAATAAGAAAAAAAAACTAATTTAACTATTAGACTAAACCAGTTTAACCAATAACTAGTTTAGTTAAGCATTATTAATATTAATTAAACTGATCTAGTTATATAAAAAAATTTAACAAGTTTTTGTTTAAATATATGTTTAGTATGTTTTTGGTATGCTTAGTTTATATAAGAATTTATAATAAAGATTGTTCTTGCCAACTAATAAATCTTAATAAAAAAGGTTCTGAATATAAAATTGGCTTTAATAATAAATACATTAACAAATAGGCATTAATATAAAAAAAGTTATATATTGTATTATTTTATTTAAAAATTTTTAATATACATATAATAATTATCTTTATTTTCTTTATTGTTTTCTTTGTAAGTTTTGAAATCTATATATAATTAGATATCTGTACATTTGTATCAAACTAATATCTATATAAAATTAAAATAACTATAATTTTGCTAATATTTACTTTTACTCTAACTTAAGTTTTCAGTCTAACTATAATGAAGTTCTGTATTTAAATTTTAACTTAATGCAAATTTTAATTTGATGCACATATTATTATATAATTTTTTATTATCAAAATTATAAACTTATTAAATTGGTCAGATACATTTGATTAATTTTTTATTTGATGTTTTAAAATTTATAAAAACAGTTGTAATTAATTTTTTTAATCAAGAAATTTAAAAAAATTTTTTTTATATTTTGATAACTAAGTAGATTTAAAGAAAATTTTATAAAATTTTTATATATAAAATTTAAAAAAAAAAAACAGGCCAGCTAGCTAAATTTATTTAAAAGTTTTATATTATAAAATCATGTTATTAAATTATATAATTTAAATAACAACACTTTTTTTTTTAACAAATTCATAATTAATTCTATATAATTCATTTAATATAAAATTTACTAATCTGTTAAATGCTATATCATATTAATTAAAAGACTAAGTTCTAAAGCAACAAAATACTTAGATATATTGCACAACAGAAAACTACTATTACAAACTAGAAAAAATTTAATACATATTTCTATTTATATTATATGCTTTAGGATTTTAAAAAAAAGTTGCTTACAATTAATACAGTTTTTATCTGAGCATTTTTATATAAAAATATAATAAAAAGAAAACATTTTAACTTTTACAA